TACTACTACTACTACTACTACTACTACTACTACTACTACTACTACTACTACTACTACTACTACTACCACTACCTACTACTACTACCTACTAACGCTACTACTACCTACTGCTACTGCTACTACTACTACGACTACTACTACTACTACGACTACTACTACTACTACTGCGACTACTATTCTACTACTCTTACTACTTCCACTACTACTACTACTACTACTACTACTACTACTACTATCTACTACTACTACTACTACTACTACTACTACTACTACTACTACTACTACTACTACTACTACTACTACTACTACTACTACTACTACTACTACTACTACTACTACTACTACTACTACTACTACTACTACTACTACTACTACTACTACTACTACTACTACTACTACTACTACTACTACTACTACGACCAATGTGAGGAGGAATACTGCTATGAATAAGCATAAGACACATACGGCGAACAAGAGGAACACACACATGAGCACGCACGCAGGCTTTCACGGGTCCGCGTCCGCGCGACTCCTCGCCGTCGGCGGGCCGCGCCGCCGTCCCGCCGCTCCGCCGCTGCCGAGGCCGAGGCCGAGGAGGAGCTGCGGCAGCTGCAGGCCGCCGCCGAGGAGCTGGCGGGGAAGCTGCGCGCGGCCCGGTCGTGGGCGGAGGCGCGCTGCTGCGCCGAGAGAACCCAGACCCCCTCGGGTCATGAACAAAATCACGACGGGAGCTGTGTCCCTATGTTCGGCCTTTGGGAGTCCTTACCGGGCTTCGGGGCCGTCGAAAAACGGCTCAGCAGGATGAAAAACCGGTCCCAGGGAATAGGTCGAGACCTCCAGGGTTGCTGATGTACAGCGTGGGTCCATGCCAAGAAACGCCCTGTTTGCCTCCAGGGTGCCCTCGATTTCACGGGTTTCGATGGCTTTGCAATGGAGAGCGTGACGTTCCCACACCAAAGGTCGATAGACGTCCTGCGGTCTCAGTGTTGGGTTTCTGGTGGAAGGTTTCCTGTGGTCGGGCCCCTACTATACCATTGCCCTTGCCGCGTTTCCGCATGTCCCACGGCCACCCGGCGGCGGTCTCGTGCACCGCGCTGGTGGCTCAGGCAGGCTCGCGTCGTGAACAGAAATCTTCGGGAGGTTTTTGGCTGTTGTCGGCCCCTGGGGGGGCCCTCGCTGGGCCCCAGGACATTTATGAAACGACTCTGCATGAGAAGCCTGCCCTGCGCAAAGGTTTGGGACTTCCGGGCACCCCGGGTGATCAGATTTAGAAGATGTGTGCTATACGGTAGGTTCGCGCCTCGTGTTGACCAGTGGCGACCCCGCCGCCGGCGTTCAACGTTGAACGCCGCGGGCGACTCGAAGTGGCTCGATATGTTGAACAATCGGACGTTGCTGAAAGGGCCGGTCGTTCAAGGTTTATGTCGGGCGTGTCCCCTTACGGTGGGATTTTCGACGAAAAATACATCATTCCCCAAAAATACAACAAAAAAGGTAAAAAAATACTTCAAAAATAGTCCCCTGACTATTTTTGGATTATTTTTTGATTATTTTGGAGGTATTCTCTATTTTTCGTCGAAAATCCCCCTGTAGGGCGACAGGCCCGACTTAATTCAAGGTTGAACGATCCCCGCGGTGTCAGGAACCAGCGCCGAGGTCGGCACGACGCGAACTTGTCGTGTATATATGTATATGTATGTATGTATGTATGTATATATATATATATATAGCTCAGCCCCCCCCCAGCGGCCCCCCCAGGGCCCATCATCCACATCATCATCACCATCGCGTTTCTCCTCATATGCATGCTCATCTTACTACTGCTGTCACTCATGCGTCCCCCAGCACCCCCAAACAACGGACTGGGGAGGGGGAGGGCATCCTCCTGGGGACTGGGGAGGGGGGGGCAGCGATTGGGCCCTGGGGGGGCCGCTGGGGGGGGGGCTGACCATATATATATATATATATATATAATACATATAAATATATATATATATATATATATATATATATACTGCAGCCCTTGTCGCGGTTTCGCCGCGCGGGCCTCCTCGGAGGTCCGCCACGGCCGGATGCGCTTCGGAGCCCTGCCCGAAGGCACCGGCGGAGATCTCCGGGGATGGCCCGTGGGTCGTTGAGATCACGCAGGTATTTTTAAGCGGCCACATGCGAGCCCTACCCCTACTCCAGATTTCGTAATAAAAGGGAGGGGGTCTGGACCCTCCAAGACAAGCCATTTCAGACCCCCCCCCCCGTGGGAGAACCCTCCAAACATCGTCCCCAGACCCCCCCAGGCCCTCCAAGATAGCCTGGAAGGGACCCCCCCCGAAATGAGACCCCCCTCCCTTTATTGCGAAATCTGGAGTACCCCCCAACGATCTCTGAGGGGGAGGCGGAGTTCACTTCGCTCGAGAGCTCCCGAGCGAAGTGAACCCCACCCTCCCCCTCAGAAGTCGTTGGGGGGTACTCCAGATTTCGCAATAAAGGGAGGGGGGTCTCATTTCGGGGGGGGTCCCTTCCAGGCTATCTTGGAGGGCCTGGGGGGGTCTGGGGACGATGTTTTGGAGGGTTCTCCCACGGGGGGGGGTCTGAAATGGCTTGTCTTGGAGGGTCCAGACCCCCTCCCTTTTATTACGAAATCTGGAGTAGGGGTAGGGTTCGCATGTGGCCCCCTATATTTTCTGGGATCCCAGATCCCAGCCTGCTCTGGGCGCCCTCCTGCTTCCATTCTCGAGTGCTCTCTCCCGGTGCCCTCCTCGGCAAGGGGCGGGCGGAGACCCGATCTGCTTTCGACGCCTTCCTGCTGCGTGTTTCTGCCCACTTCTTCCGACCGACGGGCGGCGCTTGGCATCGCTCGGACGTGTGCATTTTTCCTTCGGCGAGGACAATCGAGGAGCATCCTTGACCATTTGGCGAAAAAACCACGCACGAAACCGAAAAAAGCACAGGGAACGGACGTCCGAGCGATGGCCAGGGCGGCATCCGTATCTTTTGGTATGGGTCGGCGGCGCGCAGAGGGGGGCAGGGGGAGGGGGGAGGGCTTCTTAGAAGCACCCTGCTTCTTAGAAGGCCTCGGCCTTACGTCTGTAGAGAAGGCCCGCGCCTTCTAGGAAGCAGGGGTGCTTCTAAGGAGCCCTCCCCCCTCCCCCTACCCCCCTCTGCGCGCCGCCAAATGGGTTCTGGTAGTTCCAGGCTCATTCAGACCTCCAACGCATTGGAAACATCGAGATGGGGATTATTCGTCGTTTTTGGCATCATGGGTGCCCTCGCTGTGCCCAACCGTCAACGAAACGTTCAAGGACGAAAAGACGGTCCCCAGGAAGTGGTCCAGAGGTCCAAGGACCCTGCATTGGAAAAGTCTGGACGTCAGACGTCTGGGAATGGAGTCCGAGCAGATGGGGTCGGAGGATCGCGCCGCATCACCGATGCATCGCAGATGCGGTGCGACCTGGAGCCCGATATTCTCCACCCCGACGGCGCCGATGCATCGCAGACGTCGCCAATGCATCGCCGATGCGCGGCGCGACCCTCTGGCCCCATCTACTCTGACCTCATTTTGAGGGGGGCTCTATTCTCGGGAGCCGCCATGGGGGATGCCTTATTGTCTCCCTCCATCCCTCTCACCACATCAGCAAGCTAGAAAAGGATGAGCTGCGTGAGCATACATTTGCTAAGTCCGCGCGGATTGCTTGCATCGGCGCTGGACCCCGTGGCTGCGCCTCGGCCGCCGCCGCTGGGGCGCCATGTTTGTGTGCAGTTGAGGCGTATAGCTCATGCGTTCCTTGCCTCACTGAAGCGCGATGACCGTATCCTTCTTGTTTTTCCTCACCACTGTTAGCCGGTGCGCCCTCGACGTGCACGGCTCTCTCTCTTGGGGGTGGGAGGGGCGATGCCGACCGCGGTGTCAATTGAAGGGCACAGGTCTCACCACCGCCGATTCGTGGGCACGACGCGCAGAGGCACGGGCAGAGCCATGTCCTTAGCTTCAGGTTTTGTTCGTCCCATGCGTCGTCCCACCATACGCTTACGCGCCATGATAAGTCAGCACGCGGCTACCCGCTTTTTTTGGGGGGGATTGTGTGAATAGAACCCGTGTAATACCCTCCTATATACTCCTTATCCTCACCTCTCCTGCGCCTGGCCGTTTGGGCTCAAGGTATTGGGATATATCATTGAGACAGTCCATTGATTGATCAGACCATTGATCGTGCGGGAGGGAAAGACATCCATCTTTCCCTTCTTCCCTCTACCAACGGATCAGGGGTTCTGTACCCTTGTACTTCAACCCCATACACAGGTTATCAGCCCTTTAAAGCTCACCGTTCATCGAACCCCGCGTTGCGAACCCGCACGCGGTCTCGATGGAACCCAAGCGGCGCATGCGCCGTAAGGGGTCCGTCGGGACCTCGCGTCCGAGCTCTCCGACGGCGCGACGGCTCGGTGACGAGTTGGAGAGCCTTAGTGCGGACTGTGTTGGTGTCCCAGGTACCCCCCCCAGCTCCGACGGACCCGAGGCGCGGCTCGCTGTTGAACTTCATCGCAACGCCGCCCGCGGGGGGACAGGAGTAGGAGCAGGTAGGAAGGAGTTCCACACGCCTACCTTCGATCCCCCATCTCCTCCCCAGTCGGGAGCAATCCCAACTGCGTCAGGCGAAAGCCTCACTGGTCCTGATACTCCAGGGCGCTTTCGCGCTAACCGCCGATGGACCTCAGGCGCCGGTACCCCCAGCCCTGCTACCGTTCCTGTCGCGGAGCACGTAGCCACCTTCGAGGAACTCAGTAGACCAGTGGCGTCGCAGCCGCAGACGCAGTACCCCAAGGTATCATCGGATGAGACACCACACACACACGGTCCTAGCCGCAGCTCGTCCGCGCGCAACCGTCGTGGGGCCCCAGGCCCATACGGCGAGAGTAGGTCGAGCCCGCGTGCCGCCTCTCAGAGGCCAAGCACTCCTCGCGAGAGGGGGCAGAGGGAAGCTTACGCTCCCCACCTCTCCATCTCAGACGACCAGCTGGCGGCAACGTCCGCCGCAGGTGAAATAGCTGAGCTCAGAGACCAGGTTGAAACCTTCGTGTCCAGGCAATACTCTGGACTACTGCAGAGCGTCCAGACGAACGCTGCCAACACTGCTGCCATACGCCAAGATCTTGACGGCGCCTTAGGAATCATCGATTCCAGGATCGCCGAATATCGACGCATCATAGGTGAGCTGCAGTACCAGGTTGACCGTGAGGTGTCACACTCAGGTGAACGAACAGCGATGGTCGAGAACCTGCGCAACTATCTCGCGCAGATGGAGCAACAGCTTGTGCTCGTACGTGACACTGGCGTTTCAGCAGTCAGGATCCTCCACGACGAGATCCATGACCAGCTCCGCAGCCGACCACCACCAGCCGAGGCCCCCGACCTTGGCGACGTTCAGTCTCAGATCAATGCTCTTCGATCCCACATGGACCACACTACGGCGACGCTTCGCAACGAAGCACACACCAACTCGTCGGACCTGATCGACATGTTGCAACGTACTGAGAGCGTCATCGCTCAAAGGTTTGATGCGACCAACGCTGTCGTGCAGCCACTCGCTAACCGGATCTCTGATATCGAGCAGCGTTTTCCTGGCGTACAGGACGCCCTGGCAGAGTTGCGTGTCGGACGAGCCCAGACTGAT